CCTTTTTCCTCGTCTGGCTGATCCTGTAAGCTCAGCTGAAACTTGTCCACCATGGGTAACTCTGCTGGTATTTAAAACACTGGTGGTATAGCTTCTAGCATCATAGTAACACACATGCTCACAGGATTGGTCTACTGAATTAAAAGGTTTAGGACTACTTGCAGATAATACCCACTTGACCTGGCTTCAATGACTGGATGATCAGAGCTCAATCAGAAGAAGAAAGAAGAGGAAAAAAAGAGTAATCTGATGCAATTTGATGAAATTGACCTACACCTATGGAAGCAGTAGCTCAAAAGAGGGAACAAATTCTTATAGCAAGAATCATTCCCATCCCCTCCACACACAGAGTAGACAGGGATGGGCAACTTGGACATTGGCTACCCAAAATGGGGGTGTAGGACTACAAAGACAAGAAGTGACTAGCTTACAAGCTTTCAAGAGGCAACCTAGGTCCAGAGGGCCTGGAGGAAGGCAAAATCTCCAGTGAGTAGTATCCAATCTGCCTAGGTGGAGCTGATGAAATGAAATGCAGATGGGTCTCTTGTGATACAATAGTGAATACTTGTTACCAGGACTGATTGTGACGGTTGGAAATGTAAAGGTAGACATTTTATAGCAAGGAAGGGAAGGAATAACTTTTCAGTCTAGGAGCAGAGGTCCCTAGGACCATCAACGGAGAAGACCCAAGAGCGGGACCCTACCCAGAGAAGCAGTAATGCCCAAGAGGGAGCAGAGACAATGACGTGGAGCGATGGAGCAGCTGGGGACTTTAGATCCAGAGAGGGAGAGCGACTGTGTGCTGAAGACTGGGGGAGTGGGGGGAGATAGTGTAGGGGGGCAGGCTTGCAGGGTATACCCTTTGGTTGGTTGATGATGCATTGAGGGGATTGTAACCATGGCAATGATACGATGCACAATAGAGTGAATGTAAAACTAATGTTCTCCCATGTAAACTATCATATAATTCACAATAAAACACTTAAAAAAAAAAAAAAAGGTTTAGGACTATAGTCTCAGAGGACAACTTAGTCAATTGGCACAACACAGTTCATAAAGAGAAAGTTCTGTATCCTAGTCTGGTGAATAGAGCCTGGGGTCTTATAAACTTGTGAGCAGCCACGTCAGATATAACTATTGGTCTCAATTCATATAAGGAAATCAAAGACTCAAAGAAGACATGAGTCCATATGACTAAGAGGCCATACAAACCATGGCTCGTCTCACCTGAGACCAGATCTAGATGGTGCCCAACTACCATTACTGCTCTGACCAGGGATGTAATAGAAAGTACTGGATAGAATGGGAACAAAATGTAGGGAAAACATTTCAAATTCCTAGAAAAGGTTAGACCTACTGGACTGATAAATACTCGAGAAACCTCCAAGACTATTGTTCTAAGACAACCTTTGAACTTGGAACTGTAGCTATTTCTGGAGATCACCTTTCAGCCAAATAATAGATTGGTTTGTAAGATAAACAATATCACCCATGAGTAACATGCTCTTTTAAACAATCAGTTATCTGAGACCAAATGGCCAACGTTAATCTAAAAGCAAAGGTGAGAAGGCAAGAGGGGAAGGGAAACAAGAATAAATTGAATGGAAATAATGAGAATGCTGATATATTGTGAAAATTGGAACCAACGTCATGGAACAGTTTGTATAACAAATTGTTAATAGGGAACCTAATTTGCTATGTAAACTTTCACCTAAAACACAGTAAAATATTATGAAAAAAAAAAAAAAGGAAGAAGCAAGCAGTCACTTTGGGAGGCCCATGTGACAGAGACCTGAGGGGCAGCCTCCAGCAAGAAGTCAGGGTCCTAACTCCTACAGCTACAAGGAAATTAGTTCTGTTCAAGACGCGACTGAGCTCAGAAGAGAATTCGTCCCCAAACTAGTGGATGAGAATGTAGCCCAGCTGACACTTGTACTGCAAGTTTGTAATCCTAAGAAAAGGACCCATCTAAGTAAGCCCTTCTGGAGTCCTGGTATGGCTATAGGATAAGCACTGTACCGCAAAGCTGGTTTGAATCAAAAGGTCGGCTGTTCAAAATTACCAGCTGTTCCTTGGAAACACTATACAGAGTTGCTATAAATTGGAATCAACTTGACAGCAATTAACAACAACATTTCATTCTAGGATTCCTGACTCACAGAAACTGTGAGTTAATAGATGTGTGTTGTTTAAAACTGCTAAGTTTGGGGTGATTTGTTATACAGCACTAGAAAACTAATATTAGTTGCCTTTTACACAGGTGGGTTTCTGTTACTTGCAATCTGAAGAACTTGACTAAGACATGAGCACTTACTCTGGATGAGCTTGCCCTCCAGAAGAGCAGTGACAGGAGTTGGTAGTGACTTTAGCTAGCACAGGAAATGTTTGTGGTGGAAAGTCTGCTAGAGAATGGCAGCTAGAACTCCATGGGTACATCTGGGAACTCCCTGGAAACTAATAGAAATACTTAGAGTAAGGAAGGGAAACATTGCATTGGACAGATGGGAACTATTGAGCCGACAGAGTTTGAATGCATGCTTTCATTTGTATTTGTCCTGAGTTTCTGAATTTGCAAATTTGTATCTTTTACCACCTTCAGGACACAACTATTTCTGTTGCTAAATCTTTAAGTTTATTGATTTTCCTGTCATCTCCATTCTACAGTCAAGCTTATCTACTGAATGGATTTTATTTCAGGTATCTTATTTTCCAGTTTTCTAGTCCTCATTTTATTTGTTTTTCATAGTGTCTTTTTCTCTGCTATTTCCTATCTTTTTATTTATTATGAGCATATTTTCTTTTACACCATTGTTGGTAAGCACCATCAAGTTGGTTCTGACTCATAGTGATTTTTATAGGGTTTCCAAGAAGTGGCTGGTGGCTAGTGGGTTTGAACTATCAGTACAGTGCTTATCCTACAGTGCCATACCTTGTTAGCTAATTCCAACATCTGGAATCTGGGTTATAGTAATGTCAGTTTCTGTTGGTTCACTTTTCTCTTAAGAATGGGTTGAGTTTTCAGGTTTGGTTGTTTGTTTTTGTGCATCAAATCATATTGGATTGAATCTTGGGAATTACGAATGTTCTGTTGTGGAGTCTCTGGATTTTGCTGGATTCTTTTATATTCCTTAAAAAAAATAAATAAATAAAAAGAAAGGAGACTCTGGATTCAGTCTGGATTTTGTTATATTCCTTAAAAACAACAAAAAACTCATTCCTAAAGCTGTCTAGTGAGCACTTTCAACACAAAGAGACCCTACAAGACAGAAAAGAACTTCCCCATAGGGTCCCCAAGGCTGTGATCCCCATGGAAGTAGATTGCCATATCTTTTCCCACAGGATTCTGGTGGGCTTAAACCACCAACCTTTAGGTTAGTAGTTCAGTGCTTAACCACTGTACCACCAGGGGTTCTTATTCCTTTAAAATGAGTACTTATATATTTTGGTTTTAGCAGGACACTACGTGAATCCAAATTGCAAAGATGTCACTTAAGGATCTTGTTGAAATATGGTAGCAACTCAAATATCAGGTTAGTTCTTATTTTCTTTAACTGAGCAGCTTTGAGCTTCTTACACAAGGGTGCTGTGGAGGCCTGAGTTAAACAAGGATCAGGCAAAGATTTGGGTCTAGTTCATGCATGAACCTGGAGCTCTCCCTCTCTGACCTTCTTTTTTCTTGGGCTCTCTCTTCATTTTCTGTAGGCTATGCTAGCCCCCAAACTCTCTGGTGTTTCACTCACTGCAACCTGAACTCGGGCTTTAAACAAAACAATTAAGGGAAAAAAATCCATTGAAATTTCTTTTGTCTAAATGACAACTCCCTCTAGAATCTGACTGCTTTTGGTAGCTTTCTATTTGATAGTTAATTTTTAAGTTTTCTTTCAAGTTTATAGTTGCCATCTGTAGAAAGAATAATATGATAGGCACTTACTCAGATATTCTCAGAAGGTGATTAGGAAAATTTGAGATTTCATTGTGTTTACCAGATAAGCCTGAGGACATATAACTTACAAAAATATAATTAAGCCCCTTTTACAGATGAGAGTAGGAGAAAGATGTGGCAATCTGCTTCCATAAAGATTTATAGCTTTGGAAACCCTCTGGAGGATTTCTACTCTGTCCTATGAGGTCGCTATGAGTTGGAATCAACTTGACAGCAGTGGATTTGGTTTGGTTTGGGTTAGAGATAAGAAAACAGGTCTCACAGATCCATTTGGCTTAAGACTCATTCTACACTGTTCTATTCAAGTCCACATCATTGTGGCAGAAATGAGATAGTGTCTACTATTTGGAGACAGAGAAGGAGTTGGCAGGAAAGGAAGACAGTTGATATGCCTAAATATATGAGTCTAAATGTACTAGTACTTTGGGGCCAAGAAATTGTAAAGATGTTCTTAAAACCTTGCACACTGGGTTGTTTGAAGGATTTTTTTCTTTTTCTTGTAATTCTTTTCAGAATTTCAGACATGGCAACTGTGCTAAAGGGGCATTTGTCTGGTAAAGAGCAGAAGTTTAGCAGGGCCTTTTGACCATCCCAGAAAGATTCAGAGACCAAAAAATATCATAGATCCTAAGGGATTATCTCTCTCAACTCCCTCATTTTAAGTATGAGAAAACTGAGACCCTGAAAAGTGAAATGACTTCCCCAGATTAATCATTCATTTACTGTCAGAACTGAGGCCAGTGTTCAGATGTCTTAATTTTATATTCAAAGTTCTTCCTGCCAAACAAGTGTAACTGTAGCCCTTGCTCTCTGGCTACACCACTATCACAAAATAACAACACCATTTGCTTCTGATGACTGGTTGCTGGAAGCCATCGAGAGTATTTCTCAACCTTTTTCTCATTTCAGAGTACTTGAAAAAATAATCCATATCCATAAATACTCAAGTGACATCCAATGAAAATCATCCCACCAGTGACTGCTATCAATGGATCCCATATGGTGTATTTACTCTAAGGCCTTCCCCCAACACCACTCAGTGGCCCACAGCACCTACCATAAATGCGAAATGCATACTCAATCTTCAGGCTGGGGCAGGCCTGCTCACTGAACACGGATGCCATGCCCAGCACATCCTCAAAGGAGAACACATCGTCATGGGAGAACACTCTGCAGATTCGGTCTCGGAAAGGGTTGACCTGTGAGTGGGGAGGAGCAAGGGGAAGGTTATTAGTGTCAGATTCACACCTCTTTGGGTCTCTCTCATCATCAAGAGAACTGCATCCATTTGGAGAGTTAAAAAACAAACAAAAACAACCAGCAGCAACAAACAAATTATTGGAGTAGATGATGGTTCAATGAGCCAGGTTCCTAGGTGTGATGGGAGGTACCAGGGATGAGGGGCTGTGCTTAGCATCACTCTTTCCACTAGCTTTACACCCTCTTATACATTCACTCCAAAGCCTCATTTTTTAAATGGGTATTATTGGTATTTTTCTTACTGTTATAAGAATACGAGTGTGAGTCAAAAAGTATTGTTGTGAAATGATGACAACTTCCTAGATATAATCAAACATCTTAAGGTAATGAGTTGCTGGGTCAGGGGCTCAGGGTCATAGTCCCAAGAGACACCAGGCTAGTTGGCATAACATAATCCACAAAGACAATGTTCTGCATCTTACTTTGGTGAGTAGCCTCTGGGATCCTAAAAGCTCATGAGCAGCCATCTAAGGTGCAGCTATTGTTCTCTGTGTGGCAGAAGAAAAAAGAGTGATGAGAATTGAAGATGCTTGGAATCAATTAGCCCAGTGGACATGTGAACATCAGTCTCCACCACTCTGAGGCCAGAAGAACTAGATGGCTCCTGGCTACAACTACCAACTGCTCTGAATGGGATCCCATTAGAAGGTCCTGGATAAAGAGGCAGAAAAATGTGGACCAAACCTCAAAATCATAAAAAAAGAAAAAAAAAGACCAGGCTTACTGGACAGAAAGAGACTGGAGGAATCCAAGATTATGACCCTCAACCACTCTCCTGGGCTGGAAAGAACTCACCCTCTTGGTTCAATTTGCAGTTAAGCAGTAGACAGGTATAGGGGGGCAACAATACTAGTAAGATTTGCTCACCATGGAATGGTCAATCATTCAAAGTCAAAAGTGCAACATTTTCCTAAGGACAAAGTAAAGAAGGGATAGGAAGGAGGATGGAATGGAAATAGGAACCACAGGAAGGAAGTGGAATAACTGTTGTTACATGGAGGGGATTGCAATCATTGAGATGAAACAAAGTGTATGATTGTTGAATGCAAAACGGAGATCTTGTCTGTAAGCCTTTACTCAATTCACAGTAAAAAGTTTTGTTTTGTTTTTAAGTACAGCTACAAAATCATAGAAACTTTTATTAAATAAAAATATCAAAATGTTTCTCAACATGTCCTCCATCTAGATCTGTACACTTCTGAAGGAGGTGTTCCATCTCTCTGTCCCGCCCCTGAAGAATTCTGTGCTCTTCAATTTACTTCATATCAAAACAGCAGTCTGGGCTTCCTCAAGGGACTTAAAGTGTGTGCCTTTACAACACTTTTGTGTTTGGGAAAGTAAAATTTAAAAAGTCTGAAGGGGCAAGATCAGGGTTGTAGATGGATTGTTGTTGTTGTTGTTGTCAGGTGCCAT